TGCTGAAAGGCACGGTCCCCAATGTGGGTCACTGAATTCGGAATGGTCAAGCCTGCCAAATTACTGCAATGCAGAAAGGCCTTATCCCCGATGTGGGTCACAGAGTTTGGGATGGTCAATTTGGTCAACTTTTTGCAGTCTTGGAAAGCCATGGTTGCAATTCTAGTTTCATGGTTGGGAATTTCAGCAACAACACGCAAATCTTCCAAGTCCCCGAGCTTGTCGATCGCCTCATGATTGGAGCATATCACAAAAAACATTCCTTTGAGCACAATACTCACAACATCATCTGCAACCAGCCCTGCACCGCCAATGGTCTCATCATTCCCCAAAGGCCTGTCTCCAACAACAATCTCCACTGCAGCAGTTTGGCGAGTCACCTCGTCCAGTCCTTCTCTGATCTGCCGCTTGAGCTGCAAGCCTGTCGTCCCCGGCGTCACTTGAAGTTCACTTGTCTCGCCGTTGGCCCACAGTGCCTGAAGTCTCATCGCCATGGCCCAGCTACAATCACTTGGAAACTTAGTTGAGCTGATCTTGATGTCAATGTCTGCCAAGAGTGTTTTCTCGAGCCGCGTCTTTGCATGATGTCCGATGTGCTGCTTTTGGTGATATTTTTGGCTTTCATACCATCCAAGTGTTTTTGCATTGTCCTATTGATCTGGCAATCCGCGCATGGGATGAAAGAAAGCATCGAGGATTGGTCAACGAATGGAAACCGGTCATGAGGAAAATCGAAAACTCTCTTCAGCTGTTCATGCAGTTCCTCGACGGGATTTGCAAGACACAGTCCGTGCATTTGGCTCTCCAACTTCTGGTAGACGGTACAACCAGACAGATCAGACAGGATGGCCGTGGTCAGCTGCCGAATAGATCGAATCTAGTTGTCTACATAGACAGACCGTCCATGTATGGAAAAGTGACTTGCGTTTGTCCCATTTATGACCCATGGACGGCCTGGGACGGCCGTCGGACTGGCAGTCACTTGAACTGCCAAGGACTGCACATCAAACGTTCCCCTTCATCAGGCGTTCATGGTGACTCACGAGTCACGAGTCCTCAAACAAACATCGAAACTGCAAAGGGAATGCACTCCCGAAAACTAACATGGACCCTGAGAATGGCACCCTGAAAGACTGTTTCCTTTACAAACCAGTGCTTTTCAGGGTCCATGTTAGTTTTCAGTGTCAAGTATTGAAAAAGGATATCTCTCGCGATCATTCACCAGACAGGGGTGCTCTGCCAGAAACACTTCCCTAAACTTGGATTTGCCCAAGCAACTGTGACAAAAAATAGAACATCTGTCCTCCATGCCCGGCGATTTACCCATATACAGTTGTAGTTGTAGGACGTTATAGGGGAAAAACCATCACCTCATCCGCAAAACCAGGTGAAAGTCGAAGTTCGAAGTGCCGGGCGTGCCGGTCGTTACGACTCTCACCCGACTCTCAACCGCAAAACTACCCGACCTTCGACGGACCCGACCGAAGGGCCGTAGCAGTGGCCTGTAGTGGATGCAGCGGCCAGTGAAAGCCGTGAACTCGCACTTCCTTGTAAAGAGAAGGCATGGGCAAAAACGTATCATTCCCAGACACGACCCATGGGACTGCCATAGGACTGCCGCCCCATTGACCCCCCTGGCACCACCCCAACTGATCGGCACATATGGCATACATGGAGCGTCTGGGATTGATGGATTCGGGCGTGTTTGAGGTGCAAAGCATCTTGTTAGCCGGAACCAGCCAAACATGGCCCTACGCCAACGCAGCAAACAAGCCAAGGGCACCCTTCAAAGTTCAAACACCTAGAGATGTTTGTGCTTCAACACATCCTTTTGTGCCAGCCCCGCCAAACGCAAATGATGTGGAAGCCTCACAAGGCTTCATTGAATCTTTGGAAATGATCACCAAACACAACCTCTTCGTGTGTGGGCATCGTGGTCTTGGGCATCATTTTCGCGGACGACATAGAAGCAGAAGTTGACCCCTGCAACTACCCCCAGGCTGCCAATCGCCAGCCGTACAGGTACTAACTAGTACACCTAATTACCTTTATATTTTTTCGCCAGCCGTGTGTGGCTTGAACATCTTAAACAGCACGACCCTCCGAACACGGAAGGCACGACCTCCGTCGTCCCGTCGTCCGCCGAGTCGGTACGCGGACGGACGACGCTCCTCCATCGATGGTTCAACGCATCCTTGGTGCGGACGGAGGCCCAGGGAACCGTAGCATGGCCAGGTAGGCCAGGTCTCACCGCCCGCGTGATACGGAGCGGGACGGCCAGGTGACGGAGAGGAGGGCGCGACCCAAGAGGATAGGGGATGAGAAGGGGAAGGTGTCTGGTGGAACATCTCAGATGCAAATCAGCCAAAGGCAAAAGAATGAAAAATGTCTATCTCATGGTGCCAATCATGCCCAAAGCCTTACAGCGAGTGTTTTCACTGCCTTGGTGCCATTTGGCGCCAGATGCACTACCTAGAGTATACCAATCATTTGAAACGTGACGTTGTGATGGCAGACTCTACATACCCTTCTTTTGGACGATGCTGTACCCCTTAAGATCCGCTGCCTTGTTGTTTTTGGGCTGTCTTCGGGTAGGTGACGAGTTCTTCATCTCCAAAGCCAAAGCATCCATGGGGCTGCAATCCTGGAATAGGTACCCGATGCAGGACAACACGCATAAAATAGGCACTCGTCCACTCTCATGGATGGGGGGCCTGCTGTTGAAGCCCGAAAAGAAATAACTCATATTCCCCATGCCAGGCGATTTACCCAGGAACCGGGAAAATGAACACATCACCTCATCCGTCTTCGGTGGAAGTCAGCAAGACTGTTGAAGTTCAAAAACGAGTTCCAACCAGAAGACTCTCACCTGTTTCCGCAACCAAACAAAGTCTCATGGACTACGATTGGAACGTCGGATCCAAAAGAAAACATCAAGGGCGGGGGCACGAAGTGTTACTCCATCCATATACAACCACCCTCCTTGAGTGGTACATCTAGACAGGGGCCATGAGATTTGCATGGATCTGTGGGACATTCAGAAACACGGGGGCATTGTTGATAAGACATCACCGTCTCTTCTCAGGCAGCGACCACCCAGTGGTCACACTATCGCTCGAGGCATGGCGGGTGTTCAAACACCGCGGGCCGATTTCGGAGCGAAAAGCTGCCACGACCGTCAGGAACCATGGGCTGTGGACAAATTCCTTTGGTGATGCATGTGGCCATGTGTTTGTGCAGGAGTTGAGGTGGTGTGCTGCTGGGTGAGAATGAGAATCGTCTTTTTGGATGCCGACACGCGTCCCTGTGTGATGCACCCAAACCTGGAATTCGTAGGCAAAGAACTGAATTCTGAATGAGGTGATGAAGAAACAAAGAAATTGTTTTTGAGTCGAGTTTCAGTTCTTTCAAATCTTTCAAGTTGTTTAATCAGCTGTCTTGCCCCCCTGTAAGTGGCCACGCGGCATGCGGCATGTCTTGAAAGGTGGGGCCACACAACTCTCTGAACCTAAGCTCTGTGAAATGGCCAAGCGCGAAAGCTGATCTGGACAACAGCAAGCGAGATCAGCCTTTTCCACAGGTTCGATGGAATCCGGCCACCGTGGCGAAACACATACCTCTCCAAGAGTCATTCTCCTTTTTCAGCAACTAAGACCGACCGAATGCCGAAACGAAGCAGCCTTCACGAAAACGATCCACCGATCCACATGACTGCACCCGTTAAGGACAATCACAAAGTCACGGACCCGTTGCGCGTCGTTTGAACGACAAAGGGACCGCGCGTCGATGCGAAAGGGATCGTGGAAACCACGACAGATCGTCGATCGCCCTCCGAAAAACCCTCTGATACCGAACGAGCGGAAAGGACCGAATGTGGCAGAACATGGACTGTGAACTAGTGAGTAGAATAACTTCTGACGTAAAAGGTGTTGTGGTTTTGTGGGCAATCCCATGTCTGTCAACAAGGTGTTTGTATACAAATATATACACTTCTACATAAACAAATATAGAAAAATAATCATAGATATGTCTAATAATTGTGCTTATAGACCCCTTTTGGTCTTCTTAAGGAATCCAAGAAAGAAGGCCTAGACCACCACCGTCTGCATGTGGGGTCCAGGTACCAGAACTCTTTAATCAACTGGCGGAAAGGTCGTTACTAGCAGCCTCTAAACGGGAAGAGGCTCGGCTCCCAATCTGTTTGCTGTGACCTTCGAAAGAGGTGTAAACACGCCTGAGCGTTGCTCATTACATGGATGGCAAGAGTGATGCTCATCCAGCAGCAGCTTTTTCCACAGGCGACACGATGCTCAACATCCTTGGTCGTCTACCCGAGCATGGGAGCGCTTCCTGCCAGCATGGCAGTGTCATCCGCCACCCGGCCAAGTGGATGAAGTTAGTCAAGTCCTTCTTACGTGCTCCAAAAAAATGAAATAACGGGCAAATACCAATTGTTGCTGGGACCAACTACTGGACATATACTGGATCCTCCTTTGGGCGGAAAAAAGTGCCGGACCTCAATCCGGCAAAATTTTCCGCCGGATTCCGAAAAAGAGCCGGAGACCTGAAAAAACATCCGGATCCAAGATTCTGAAACACAGAAATGATAAAAGGTTGGATCATACACAAGCAAACTGCCTTTGGGCCACGAGTAGTATTTTCTGGAACACACTCATTCCACAACCCAGCACTGGAGCCTTCCCGTTCCCATTGCCTTCGCCCATCTTCCGAATGGCCTAAGAGCAGAACCATCACAAAATATAAGCAAACTTGTGCCCAAGCAAAGACTTCCAAGAAGAAACCAAGGAATATGTGGCAAGGAACCCCTATTTCTCTGCAACCGTGTCTCTAAAGTTGTTCTTTTTTTTACAAAGTGGCTCTCCATGATTCTTATGGTTTTAAATGGTTTTTTAAAGCTTGCCTCAGGACGGCCCCGCCAATAAAGTAGAAGAACTCATGGTTCCTGTCGAAACTCTTAGTTGAAAAGCTTTTCCAAAATTCAAACGACTGAGTCCAAAAAAATATGCCGGAGTTACGGGAAATTACGCCGGAGTTACGGGAAATTACGCCGGAGTTACGACGTGCAATTTGTTTAGCAACTCTCTGCAAAAAATTGAGATTCTGAACAACATATGTTCCACAGCGCAAAACTTGTCCGGCAGTGCAGGCTCTGCAAACCTGCGCAACTAGAACTAATATGAACTAGTTATATCCCAGCGCCCCGACATCCTGAAACAATGGGAGTACATCTTTGCCTACGTATGTTCTTTCAGCTTAGGTACACCCACTTGGGTCTTTCAACACGTGCATCGCACGGTACCCATTTCATCCGATTTCATTTAGAAGATCACGTAAACGGATCTGATTGATCCAGTGTGAACCATGCTGAAAGCGGTGGAATGAAAAAACAGCGGAACAGGCAAACGAGCACACTTTGTAAGCAAATCATTACCTTCAAAGAAATGCAAGCCACAAAGAATGCAAAGCCTTGAGAATCCACATTTCAAGTGACTTGGAAAAACTGCCGGACCAAATCCAGAAAAACGCCGGTTGGAAGTCCGGCGCCGGACCCTGTAAAAGTGCCGGACTGAAGATCTAGGTATGTGAGTTGTTCTATCCAACGACATCCGCAGAATGCAAGCGCTGGAGACTCCAAGTGTCATCGCCACTCCTTTCTCACGTACTCTGAATAAGTCTCGGTGTCATCTACAAGTGTGTTCAGAAATGAGAAACCATGCTAAATACATCACCAGCCGTTGGGGCAATCGAACACATGCCAAAGTGCCCGACTGCGTCTTGATGGGTGGTGCTAAACATATCCTCCGCAAGCAGTCCATGCACTTGATGAACAATGTGCTTGAGAATCTAAACCCTAGCGATAGAGGATCCACCGTATTCCTAGCCATGGATTCTCAGCTTAGATGAAGTGGTGCAGGCTTTCTGTTTCTCCGCCTGTAGAGTCCGTCTCCCAGACAGCCCTGCGACTGACCTCTGCTTGACTCACCTCACTCACCTCTGCACCAGACAGGTCTTAACATGTCTTAACGATCCACGACATCCCAACGGAAGGTCTCGGGCGTTGACAGACAGCTCTCCGAGCCTCTCCTGTGAAACCAGAGGGCCCCCGGTCCTAGGTCCTAAAATCGATTTGAACCATCGACATCTGATCGATTTGGGCCTTAAACAAGGACTAACTCGGTTGTTTCGATAGCACAAATGTCCAAGTTCGGGGGGGGGGGAACCAAATGCAGGGAGACCCCCATACCAAAAATCCTCTTGGGGGATCCCCGTGCCATTGGACCTCGGAAAGCACCATACCACCACCTCCCAGGACCAGCTCTCTGCCCACCTCGACGGCTGGCGGCAAACACCCGGGCTGGACCGTGGGCTCCGCGCACCGAATCGTGGGACTCAAATGCCTGCGTTTCGACGGCTTTTGGGGATGATCTCTGTGGGTGGGCCGCAGTTTTTGAGGGATGTGGGTGGAGATCAACTACACCAGACCAAGTTCGGATGGTTCCCTACGACTGGCGGACGGCTCGTGTCAGTTCATTCGAACGACGGCCCAAGACGAGTGGACGCTTGTTTTGACTACACAGATGAACGGGCTACCATACCAGACTGGTGAGTGCGAGGAGTTGGAAGGGACTGGACTCGGGTGGCGCTTAACTCCTTTGGATGGCGCTTAACTGGGACACCAGCCAGACCAGTCTGGTCCTGGGGTCACCCAGAACGGTTCGCCCGGTCGGTCCTTCTCATCGTAAAAAAACGAAGTCACGTGGTTTGAGGGTGGATCCCAAAGGGGCTTAAAAGAACCCTTGGAGTTCTAGTGGGTCCATGGTTGCATCTGCTTTCTGACAAAATCAGTCCTCAAGCCAGTGGCCAGGGTCAATGCTTCGGCCTGAGATTCAACGGAAGCACTGATACCGCCAACACCTTCCAGCTGATGATGTGGAGGATCATATTCTTTTGGGGGGAGACTAAAGTTCACCAGCCGATTTGAAGGGCCAAATGCAATTTGTAGACATGCCAGGTTGAGGTCCGACATTGTTGGATACCTAATATATATGCCACAAAGCCCCTAGGGTTCCTTCATGTAGACTGAGACGAACCCGGCAGCGCATCCCACGGGCCCGAACCGGGGCGTGATGAGCGTTCAGTTCGAAAAGTGGCTCAACTTCTCCCAGACCAGTTGCAATCATCTACCAATCATGACCCCATCCAAGTATGGGGTTCGATGGGGTCAACATCTACCAATATCCGATTCATGCCCCCATCCAAGTAGGGCGATGGGGACCCCCCCCCCATCCATTCCAGTCCCATGGAGTGCCGGGACTTGACCTTTGAGAACCAGTCTCAACTGAAAGGAAGTCTGAGGTCATTCAGACTGGCCCGGACGAAAGCGAGTTTCCGCTGTGACAGATCATGATGAACCAAAACGGGTCATGAGCACACGTTTCTTCGTGTCGTCAGCACCCTTTTTCTGCTTTCGCCTTCACCTGGTCAAGAGAACTTGCTCTCGACATGCGACGTGTCATGGCAAACCTGCAATCCCCTCCCTCGCATCTTAGCAGCCTATGACATAACCAAGCTTGTTTGCAGACAGTCCCAAGTCCAACAGCTTTTAGAGAGGAGTGCTTCCAAAATGCAAAGAATTCAGCCGCCCATCATGAGGCATCAGGCTGGTCCAGGGCATCAGGTCTTGAGGCAAATCGGAGTCAAATCACTTGCTTCCTGACAGTTCCAGATGCCATACTTCGTACCGTACTTCGCAGCGGAAAAAGAATACCTACAATCCAAGAATTCAGTCTCAAATATATTATATATATACTTATACTGTATATGTTTTTACAATTTTTTATATACAGCACAATAATATGGCATTATATAGCGCATCAATCACATTCCTAGGTTATTTTAGCATGTACCACCAAAAAGAAGAGGCAAAATCCACCGGTGGCTGCCTAATCCACCGGCATCGTTTTTTGGGGGTAACATACCTGGAATGCAAAGGGCAGGAAAAATATGTTTGATTTTAAAAGGGGTCGACACCACAAATTCCGACAAATGGACAATTCATGAAAATGTGTTGCCTTCCATACTTTCATTTCATTATATCATTAGAGTCTTTACATAGTGTTTGACATCTTTGTTTGCTTAACAAGAAGTCCTCCAACCCTTTCTGCAAGTCACATTGAAGGAAGAAGACGAAGACACCGGAAATCCAGTGGAAAGGAACTCACGAGTTTTTTTAAGAGTTCAAATCAGCTGGTTGCATGGTGCAATCAGTTAACACTATAGAAAGCAGGGGTTTTCACTCACAAACCGCCAACAAATACGAAAACATCCTGCTATACTTGGATTCTTTCTGTTCAGCTTTTCACACCTATATAAAACGCTTTTGCTGCCACTCACCTGATGCCCGGTCTCTCTTTACAGCATGTTCGCCTCTTTGGACGAGAAGTGAACGGCGGGTGCGACCATGGCGCCAGCTGCACCAACCGGCGCTTTGGCGGAATCCGGAATCGGCACCAGGGGAACCACCAACCGTGGCTCTCCGGGTGGCCGATGTCGCCCTACAGGGAACCGTAGCCGGAAACCGAAACCAAACATCAAAACGGAAACGAGTCTTGAACGGATGGGTTTTCGTCGGAACGGATTGAGTCTTTCTTATAGTATCTTATAGTAACATTGGCCAATTGTCCTCGTTCACATGGGAGGTTTTGTGAATCCGTCTACTTTGCTGTCCCCAAAACAACACACCATCGCTATGATTCGTGGGTTCTGACGTTTGTCTTCATCCGCCGTCTGTCATCCGTCTGTCCAACCTGTCGCTGTCCCGACGCCTAAGGTGCGCCGACCGGTCTTCCTCCTTCCAGCGTAGTAACCGCAGTCCAGTCGGCCCGGGCGGGCTGCAACGTTACGGCGCAAAATGTCATCCACACTTCAGGGATGTGATAAGACTTTGTTGACCAATAAGTTGACAAACCTGAGCCCAAGTGGCAGAATTGGTACAATGATTTCCAGAAAAGTGTCTCAAGATGAAGCCACCAAGCCACGTGTTGTTCTCTCGTGGCTTGTTTGTTGTGCATCCCGAATTCCGCCGAACACGGCATCAAATGATCCGCCCCCCGTTCAAGTCGTAGCGCGATCCGTCGGGCGCTAGCCACACGGGGCGCTCGTCGCAGCCCACGCAGAGGGGGATCAGCCCGAAGCAACCTCAGTCTCGTGAGACGCTGAGACGGTTCATGTCCTTTCCAACCAAAAGAGACAAAAAAACACCTTATAAGCGTTATAAGGAACCCGCGTTTCTTATGGAAAACACATATATTTTCTGTTATGGATGTTGGATCATTATATATTGTTGGAACATCGTAAAGCTTAATATATAACGTGTATTCTTGGAATTTCTTGGACTTTGGCTCGGACTGAAACATCGTGGGATGGCTCAAAAAGGATCCAAACACCAACACAGGTGAAGTACTAGTCGATTGGTCCAAATCTGCGAGTGGATGAATGGATGGTACCTCTCTGATCCAGCATGCGTCGAAGCCCCTGCTATTTGTGTTATTCATGGTGTGACATCGGGAGGTTCCAAAAAAAAATGGTTCAGAAGTGCTCCATGACCCGCTCTGGTGTTGCTGGATGGCTGCTTTGAGTGACAGATTTGTTGTGGAATCCCCAAGGAAGTCCTTCGATCCTGCCAAGGGCGAGAAAAATGGTCCCAAGTTCATCTGTCCACACAGATCGAAAGGATAACAAAACAGTAAACAAAAATCCCTTTGGGTGTGTTTCACAACCGGCGAATCCCTGTTCCAAAGAACCAGCTGGGGGTTCAGCTGATAGGGTGAAACCAACATCACCCAACAACACTTTCAGAGAACCCTCGCTGTCCTGGTTGTCGGGTGGGCAGTCAAACACAAGAACCATGAAGTGGGTGATCCGAATCTCGGGGAGAAAAAAACGAATTAGTTATAGTATTTTTTATAGGTGTCTTTAGGTTCCACACTCCCACAAAAAAAAATAAAACAGCAAAAAACCGGGACGGCACAAACCATCACAAGTTCCAAGTCACCACAAAAGCAAAGCAGCACCACCGTGAGAATGATCTCGGCCGTCCGATGCGGGGAATCGAAAACGACGACGACTGTCCGAACGAGTGCTGCTTCGGACGAACGACATGCTGCTTCCGTTCGGCAGGTGGCGCAGCCTGATCCATGTGTTTCCACACGAGATGAAGCAGATTCACACGTGCAATTGTATTGCAAAAGGCGGTTGGTGGATACACATTGTATTTGGGAACATGCACTTTGGGTAGGTTAGTTTGGGAGAGCGCGACTAAGAAAGGAACTTTGAAAGATCTGAAACCAAAACTGAATGGAAGGTTTCTGTAACTGATAGGTGCCCGCACTACTGGTCATCAATATCTACAGTTCACGGAGAATGGTTCCATGTTGATGTTCATGACCAGCAGGGGCTCGCGGAAAACTCCCACAGATTCAAATGACAGCAGTCACGCGGGAGAGGAGGTACATTTTCTGCCCCAAGAAAACATCATCATCCATGTTTACCGTGCCCGTTTTATGTTCGGTGCACAGAAAAGGTCCCTGTGGGAGGCCAAGTCCCGTCCGCTGATCCAAGATGCCGTGGTGTTTCCGATGTACCTGGTGGCAGGCCACTTGACTCGCGTGTGAAGGTGTTCTGAAAAGACTGGGAAGAGATCCGGTTTTTTAGACCGTCCATGGGACTGGCATCTTGACCCATCAGTTGGAGTGGCTCAAAAGCATCAGTGCTGGTATAAGTAGGTATATAAGTACTCCATACAGGTTTTAAAATGGACCCGGCAGTCGTCGGCGGAAACGGACGCACCGTGGCTGGGGCCAGGGCCCGGAAGCCCATCGCCCATCGCATCGCCCATCGCCAGCTGGTTACACCCGCCATCGTGACAGATTTTCCTGTCGCAATCCCATCTCCGGCCGAACGCACATAGGACGGAAGGTGTTTATGGTCCGACCTTGCACTTTTGGAAGAGATCGATGCAGAATTTCCCTGGTCTTCCAGAAGCCATCGATCCCTCCAGTGCGGGCTTGGAGACAGCCTCTTCACTTTCCGCACCAGGGCAAGCGAAGACACCCTTGGCATGGTTGCACCAGGGCAAAAACCAACCTGCACTTCTTGGCCAATGCATTGTAGAACGGCGCACAGTCTGTGAGGAGCAGCGTACGGAGACCACGAGGATCTTTGGACTTCACCTGCTTGACGGCATTTGTCTATTCAATGCGATGTTTGCTCTCTGGCGGTGGTTTTCCAGAAGCCTTTGCGCAGGCCAAGCTCATTACATGCAAGTTGCAGCAGCGACCTTCTCCGTGTGCACTGGGACGCTGAAGAGTTCCAAACAGCTGCAAGTATACATTGCGGC